AACCACTAGCTCCAAAACCCAAACCCTAATTAGCTCAAACAAACCAAAGAATCAACAACTTTAAAAAAAGAGTAAATTAAACCAAAAAAGGAGATTGGATGTGACCTCGGCAATCGGGCAAGAGCTTGATGAACCAGGCATGGAGGTTGACCCCATCAGAGGATCGGAGCCAAACATCCTCGTAGGTGAGGCGGAGGTGGGCAGGCGTTTCCTGCAACGAAATTACATGCAACGCAATAAAAGGTTTTCAACCCCCATAAATTAGACAGTAATAAGTGCACACTAATAAATCAAAAGTGACAGACTTCATCAGCCCCTATCATCAATGAAAATTCCATGAGTTCTTCAGTTTTTCCAGTCTTTAAAAATTCAAGACAACACATTTACTATATTTCATTCGATATCTAGATATCAATGCCCATATACAAGCGTCATACCAAGTATGAAATTGCAAGTTCCTATTTCCTCTAGCATAAAGTAATAAATACAGCATTGATGCCAGGCCCCATCAATTTCATAACCATAGAAATGCTAATACATTTGTTCCACCTGAAATGATTACACAAGATGAAACTTGAGGAAGAGATATCAACTCCAAAACTTTTATCACATGCCCATTTCTTCATTTTTTTTTTTTTAATTCTTTTTCCCTAGATTGGTATGTTGTAAATGTAATTTTTTGAATAGCTTCACCCATCATATTTACCACAGATCCACAACAAAGCCTATTGTGTATCCAGGTTCTGGATGTAAGATCTATAGAGAAGCTTCACCTTCACCCACCCCTTTTGCCTCGACAATCTACAACAAAATGTATTGCATATAGAATATACAGCATATCTCCTGCATATCATACAAACAAAAGAAGATGCGGCTCCATGACAATGCAACAAGTGAGGGAAAATGTATACCTGTCGGCTTTATCAAAACCAAACCTAGCACCAAAATAGAAGGCCACTGATAGTAACCATGCATCGCTGTGAACAGCAACAAGAGACAACCAGTCCTTTTCCTGCATCCCATCTCTTGCAAAGTTAATGCCCAATGCTGGCTCTGGCAGCTCTGGTGGTACTTCCTCAGCAGGTAAATTAACTTCCCACTGTTCATTGGGGAATCCATACAAGCAAAGATTCTCCTTCTCTGAAAGGCATACCGTCAATCATATAACATAGAAACAAAGCACTAAGCAAGCACTCATCACTAAAAACAAGTCAGCTACTCATTCACTTTTTGACTTTTAACAACAGTACATTAACAAAAATAATATTACGTGCATCTCTAAGAAGCATAATTGCAGAAGAGGAAAAACAAAGAAGCTTTCCATAGCTTCTTCTCGAGTTCTATTGAGATGGTATGCATTTGAATACCCGCACAGGTAAAAAGCTAACCAAGTCTCTTTTAAAAACAGTTTTACAATTCAAATTAGAACAACATCATGCATCTTCAAGAAGCATAATTGCCAAAAATAATTTCCTATTAGTTTCTCAAGCTCTCATATGAGAGCATGCATGGAACGTCCACCTGTTTCAACTAGCTCAA